ACCTGAGAACTCCAGAATTTGGCTACCATATTCCTAGGAGTTTTCCTTTGGGGATCTCTTTCAGGAGATGATCAGTGGCTTCTTTCAATTTCTATTTTGCCTTCTGGTTCTAAACAATCAGGGCAGTTTTACTTGATAATTTCTTGAAAGATGATGTCTAGGCTCTTTTTTTGATCATGGCTTTCAGATAGTCCAATAATTTTTTAAATTATTCTTTCTGGATCTATTTCGGGAGAACATTATAGAAAGTAGTGGTAATAGTGTACAATGATCAACTGTGATTATGATGTGCTTTCTGAACTACAAAGCATTAAATATCCCTTATAATAATGGCCAGTATCTACCATGATGAAATTCAATAATAAATATATTTTTGTTCATAAGTAATTTTTTTTAAAAAATTGAATACACAGATACAGAATAAAGGAGCTATCATTATTAGCAGCTAGGAGGAGCAGAGGCAAACCTCAAATATTTACTTAATAGTAAACTCAACCATGAATCAGCAATGTGATGTGGCTGCCCAAAAAGTGGGCTGAGCTTTGCTTAAATGATCAAAAGTTATGGGTCCAGTAATGTTTCATATTAGACAGAAAACATCAGAAATGTTGCATGATATTAGGTGACAAAATTTAAAATGGACCTTGAGTAAAGGAGAAAGTAAAAGAGAGCTTTGGACATGGAATCAACAACAGTTTTAAATTCTGGCTCTGTTATTTATTGTTTGCAAAACTGTAGGGAAATGACTTCACCTTTCAGCCTCAGTTTCTCTTTATCTCTAAAATGAAAGAGTTAAACTTGATTCCTACAGCCACTTTCAAGCTCCAAATTTGTAAACCTATGAATGTCAAGGTCTGTATGTACTCAAGGCTCTTCCAGTTTTGGAGGATCTGAAAAAAATGTTTGTACTCTACTGGCAAAGACTGTGAGAGAGGACAGGTCCATGGTTATGCTAAAGTGAGGCATTGGATGCATTAAGATACAAAGATTAAAACTTGATTAATCAAAGTACTAAATAATTTTGATACAAAGATTAAAGACTATATGCTCCTTGAATGCAGAGACTTTCCATTTTTGCTTTTGCATGCCTAGAGTCAAGCAAGGTACTTGGTGCATAATAGGCATCAACTAAATGCTTCTTGAATGAAATAAATTAGCCCAGAATTAAATAGTGCATTCTTGGCATCATAGACCCCAATATTCAGGTCCTTAAAACTTTTAAAAAAGAGAGAGAAAGAAAAAAATAGTATTTATAATTTACAGCTTGACAGTGCATATAGTTGCCAGAAATTGGATACATTTCTGTCTACAATATGTCACTTTAATCCATTCCTTCATGAGTCAAATGTTAGCTTGGAAAGAACAGACAGACACTCATGTAATCAAAAGCAAGCCTTTTAATCCAAACTAGCATGGCTATTCAAATGTCAAAACTGACATAGAGCTCTAAGTAGTAGAGAAGATTGCTATTGGGACAATTTAATAAAATGTGGGTAGACTTATCCTCCAGAAAATAAAAGGAAAAAAAAACCTAAATACTGAGCTATTCATGTAACATTAAAGCTCACAATATGTAATCCTGAGAAGTTTTAAAACTTGGTAAAAACAAGTGAGAGTCAGTATAGTGAAATGGATAGAGCAGGGGTGAGGAACCTGTGGCCTGGAGGTCACATGTGGCTTTCTAGGTCCTTGGGTGCAGCCTTTAGGCTGAGTCCAAGTTTTACAGAAGAAATCCTTTTATTAAGGTGATTTATTCTGTGAAGTTTGAATTTAGTCAAAGGGCTTCACTTGAGGACCTAGAGTGCCACATGCGGCCTCAAGGCTGCAGGTTCCCCATCACTGGAATAGAGAGATGTTCTTGTAGTCATAAAGAACTGGGTTTCTGCAACACAGTATAGCTATATTACTTTATCTTCTCAGTGCCCCCAGGCACCAAGATTGTAAGTTATATGAAAAGTGCCAATCTAGTTGGTTAGAGGTAGTTTCTTCTTTGGAAATTTCTTACAACAATGAAAAAATTCCTTTCCTCCTGACCCTGTATGAAAACAAACAAACAAATGAACAAACACATAACCCGAGTGAAACCTATGCAAGTAACTGGCCATACATAAATATGCTAAAACAAAAACCCCATCTGTATTCTGCTTCAGGCACATTGTTCAGTTCATTTGGCTTTTGGAGAGGTAAATACTGATAGAGAGATATTTTAAAAGAATATTGCAACCATTTAATGAATTAAGCAACTGTACGGCCCTTTGAAGCTGGTATTTTTTTTTTTTTTGGCAGAACACTGTAGTTCGATGTACTAACAGAACGCTGCCTAAAATGATTCTTAAAGGTCTAAATGATCCCATTGTAGGACTCCACACGCTGCTGATCATAGGAATGTGGATGGAGAGAACAAAAACTTTATAGCTGAATTCAGACTCATAGATTAAGGTTGAAAGGAAAGTTAGAGAACATCTTTTTGAATCCCCTCCTTTAACTGAGCCCAGAGATGAGATGAGACTTGCCCAAGGTCACAGAACTAGTAAATGGTGGTGATAAACCCAAGAGGCACCACAACCACTAAATGAATGAGCAGATAATTACTTCATACAGCACCATATTATAAGGACTACAATCCTCAGGGCTGTGAGAATGAAACAGCCATGTTTTCTTTTTGACTTCGACTGTCAAAAAAAAGGGGACATAAAACATTGTTATCGAGATGCAAGTTTGAGTGTACATCCTTGGCAATACAGCTGGGAAGAAGAAATCCATAAGTTGAAACAGATATTTTCTTTTTTTTTAAATCAAAGAGCTTAGAATTAAAAACCTATTTTTCTTCAACATATTAGAAAACTACCTTGATTTATCACTGACAGAATTAGTACTTTGTGATGCTTTCCTGTACAGTACAGAGAATATCATGGACAGAAAACCACATAGAGTTACTAAGTAGGGCTCAGACCTGAGCAGGAGAATGGGCTATATATTATTGTCTTTGGAAAACAGAAAAGTTCTTTTAATGACCTCAAAAATCTCCCTGAAACAAAGGCCCATCTTTCAAATATCAATATTCTTCTGGTTTTACATTAACTATAATTCATGTAATATGTCCCCAAATAGGTCTTTTTCTAAAGTCTCCAAATAATTTTATTGAGAAGCCCTCAAAAGGCAATGGAGAGGCTCAAGGTGGGTGTCAGCAGGCTGCATGCAACGCATTATGAGTGAGGAATTAAGTTTGAGAAATGGTAGAAAGGATTTTGTAAAAGAAATGCACAGGCCAAAAAAAAAAGATGGGCTGGTCATGTGGCAGGAGCAAGGGGTGATAGATGGATAAACTGCCTGTTGGTATTCTTTTGCTATCATGAGAAAACAAGGAAGGCCACAGAATGTTGGGTAGATTCCCTCTGGTGAACTCATAAGAAGACGTAGGCAAGGGTCACACAGGAAAGGCAAGCATCATGATAGTGAATCAAATGATCAGAAAGATTACCTATATTAATAAATACACCAATTTGAGGATGGGATTGACACCCAACGTAGAGAAATTTTCTTCTTCTCTTCATCAGTGTGACCTATGATGTCATAAAGAGCAAGGTATAGGCTCAGATTCTTAAAATCTAGCCACTGCTCAGATTCCTTAAGAACCTAGCCAATAGCTCACAAATGTTCAGATTCCTTAAGAGTCTGGCCAATATGGTGGATCCTTAATAAACCTTTCTTTGGCTGAAAAAAAGAACAAAGTATAGGACATCCACTAAGATGACTGAATTGGTCTTATGTCAAAAGACCCATACATATTTTAAAAAATGAGAATACTAACTCAATAAGGTTCGAATGGAGTGTTCAATTGACTTGGTATATATATATGCAGTTAAAACCCATGGTAATTTAGGAGGCTACTTTCAGCTATGGACCACATGGCAAATCTTGGTTAATAATTCCATTTGAAAATTAAAACTCTTCTGTAAAGAGCAAAGTAAAATTTATTTTCCTAATCTTATTCTAGATCCTTGGTGTTGTCATTGATTCAAGTTTAAAAATGTGTAAGCAAGTAAGTAGAATTGTATTAATTTAGCAGACGAATCTGATTTTTAAATTTCATGCATAGTGAAATTAAATTTTTGTTCAAGTCTGGGAACAATCCTTCACAGTGAAATTCATAATTATGAAATAATACCCCTATCAATATCTGTCATCACATCTGGCAATAATGAAGACAAATTAACGGCAATATTTAGAAAATCTGGAAATATGATAAGCTGAAGCATGTAAAATCCATTCACTGCACTTAGTCCCTGGTGGTCTAAGGAAGGATCAATTTCCTGTCTTACCATTCTAGTGTCTAAATAAAAGGGGGGAGGTTATATCGTGATCTGGGTGCTGGGTTTCTGGCTTATAAACAACAAAGTTCTAAAACTCAGCTCCATTAAGGAGGGAAACCTTTTGCTTCCAACCTTTCCTCTGAGAAGCATTTGTATGATGTGTAGTAGGCCAGCAGCTGCTTTCCATTTGGTTTCAAAGAAGCCTGACAAGTACATAAATTTGCACCTTCAAAGTACTAAGGCTTAAAAATGTGCATGTGCTGTACTAGTAACTTTTTTTTGGTATTAATATTAATAGATCTTTGGCAAGAGGCTTTTTTTTAAACTTTAAAAAAACCACCAAGAATTTACTAAACAAAAACAAAAATCATGGTTTTTGAAATTATCAGATTTAATGAGTTGCTTCTTTTAACCACTTCCATCTATTGAAACTTATTTTGTAAAACACAGAATTACATTCATTTTTCACATGTCATCTCCTTTTCCCATTTCCACACCCAAATACTTGTTGTTCAGTCATGTCTGACTCTTTGTGACACCATTTGAGATTTTCTTGGCAGAGATACTGGAGTGGTTTGCCATTTCCTTCTCTAGTTCATTTTAAAGATGAGGAAACTGGGGCAAATGGGGTTAATGGGTATGTCTGGGGTCATACAGCTAGTGTCTGAAGTCAGATTTGAAGTCAGGAAGATGGGTCTCCTGACTCCAGCCCCAATGATAGAAACCAAATATTTTAAATGGACCATTTTTATTGATTTCTTGACTAAATCTTCTGATAGTTGGAAGAACACTATGGTGGATGTGTAAGTGTAGAATCATTCAGATAAGACATCTCATTTGAGAGATACCTTATTCCTTTAGAAGAGGGAACTAGGGGACACAGCACTGATAAATTATTGGGCCTGGAGTTAGGCAGAGTTGAATTCTAATCTGATTTCATACACTTCCTAGTGTGACCCTGGGCAAATCACTTAAATTCTGTCTGCCTCAGTTTTCTCATCTGTAAAATGGGGAAGAAAGAGAAAGAAATGCAACACATGACCACTGTCCTCTAGATGTAATAGGATGATGAATGTAAAAGTGCTTTTGTAAAAGTAAAAAACTGTATAATGCAAGGTGTTGGGGTACAGCTTAAACTGTGGCATAAATGCATCGATGAGATAGCAAAGTGCTTTTGGCCATTTCTGCTGTCTTACTACACACCCTTCATCAACAAACCTCTATCATGTACATTTAGAGACTCATTAATGTAGCAGATATAATATTCATTCATTTGTGAGGTGGAAAATATTTGGAATAAAAACTGGTAAGCATGAGTTCCAAAGATTTAAGCTAAAAACCAAATTTTGTACACTAATTTCTATTTCTTTTTATCTGCATGGACTTTGGGCCCACGTGGACCCACACAATTACATGTCCTGCATGGAAAACCTATTGAGCCACCTCCATTCCAACAAGGGATAAGACTGTGCTATTTTTAAAAAGGCTTTAGTACTCATTTTCAATAAAAAAAGAAATCTGGCATTATAAAAATACATAAAATAGTCATGATATTTATACCATTAATTTACAAAAGATACAATTTTGCATAAAACAAAGCTATAAAATAGTTTTAAATGATATTCTTATATGCAAGTTATTCCCTGTATAAAATTTTATAACATTTTTGGCAGTTTTAAAAATTTGTATAAATAGGCATTTTGGGGTATCCTTTAAAAATTCAGTTTCCTTTAAAGTCATAGGATTTTCTTTCTTTTAAATAAAAGTCTCCTTGAGGTAGTATGTTAGAAGATTTCTTTGGTTCCACTCAATAGTACTAGTGCAGCTATGTGTCCAGGTCGTAAGACTGAAAAGTAGGAGTCCTATAGCCTTCCGAGACCTGTTTATAAGTATGTGTGTGATTTTCTCCTTGAAAAACTGTCCTCTCTCTCCCATCTCCTTCTAATTCAGAGGAAAAGTCTTGGGAGTCATGAGAGTTCATATGTAAAGTTTTTGGCTGTCCACAGCTTGAAAAAGCATCCAGTTGAGGCTTCCCAAGAGGCTTCCCAAATGTTCCTGTAACGAAGAACACATATAAACAAAAATGATTACGATAATAAATTCTCCTACTGATGCAATATGGCTGTGGATCATGGGACTCCATGACCTCAGAAGAATCAAAACTGTGGATGACTTAAAAGGAAATGAAAAGATGTGTGTGTGTGTGTGTGTGTGTGTGTGTGTGTGTGTGTGTGTGTACAAGAGATTACTAATATTGACTTACATTCAAAAAGTGTCATGAAAGGTAACTTCAAGGACAAGGAGGTGGGATATTTAAGTATCAAGAATGAAACTCAACAGATAGAAAGCCCAAGTGCTAGACTAATATCCTTAATAAATGAAAAAGGGTGAGCAGAAGGCCTCCAGCATATTAGGAACCTTCCTGGGAAAGAAATGGAAGGACAGGGTGAGGAAGCCTGGAGTGTTTGGGATCTGGACTGGTGGAAGAAGTACTTAACTAATGAAGTCCTAGATCCATCTACATAGCTCACATTTATATAGCCCTTTAAGGTTTAAACATTTAAAGATTCAAATTTTTTAATGTGCCAAATGTCTTAAACAGAAATTTTCATGGATCCTACCTCTGGTGTGATTATCCCCCAGTAGACAGGCAATATGGGTGGGGTACCTATATACTGGAATTTAAGAAATCAGGTGTGTTTTCCATCCCTCTTTAATCCCACCCACTTAGTAAATGAATATATGTTTTATCTTCTCTCATCTTCCATTAATATTTGACTAAACTCAAAACACTAAAACCTACATCTTACTGCCTCCCAGTTGCTGGCATTCTGCTCTGATGGTCTTTTCTGCCAGAATGGACCCAAACTTGTCTGGCTTGCAATTCTTGCTAGGTAGACCTGTTGTTTTCCACCCTTCTTCTGCGGATTCGGTTATTAGCTACTAGACATCTCAAACCACAGTCGGGCTGCACACTCAGCTCCACCCCAAAGCACTTTGTAGCCCAAAACCACTTTTTCCACATGGCTGAAAGGCTGAGCTCCTAAGCCACACCCTGAACTCTCATCTCTTTGGGGATACCACACACAGTGCTTCCCAGAAAGTTTCTAAAAGTGGTCTCCCAAATCTAGATTAAGTGTATAACAAAGTAAAAAAAAAATTAAAAAATTCCTCTCCTTTGAGTCTGCCTAAAAGAATATTTACACTATCATAAATGAACTTATTTCTCCATAAGGAAAGTCATAACGTAGCAAAAGGCATGCTAGCTTTACTATTAAAATCCTGGCTCTTCCTCATACTAACTTTATTAACTTGGACGGTCACTTACACTTCTGGAACTTCAGTTTCCTTATCTGTCAAAGGAGCAGTTTGAATTAGATGTTCTCTCAAGTATATTCCAACTCTAAATATATCATCCTTTTTCATAAGTCTGGCATTTAAGTTCTCCACTGTATTCCTAGCACATAAGCTAAGGGCATTACTCCTCCAGTGGCTTAATTCAGCTGAGAAACTCACCCATAAAACCATTACTGGGTGCAGTAGATGATGGTTCTTGGATTGCATTAAAATCCACAGTATTGTTGTTCTGAGACAAGCTCTTGATCCCAGATCCTTCATTTGGAATGTAGAGAGAGTTGACCAATTTACTCATGGGAGATAGCATTCCAACACTACTCATATTTTGGTCACAGGATTCCTCTGATGTTTGTGAACATGGGTAGCACTCTTTTTTCTTTATGTAAGTAGACTCATAATGATCTAAGCAAGCAGTTCTTGGGTCCGAGCTGCAACCTTTTATATGTTTAAAAAAAAGAACACAAGAGAAATTTCAGTTCTGAGAGTTAGCAATGCTAGTGATTCCATGGAGATACATGAAAGTTCAATCTCGACTTGAGCTATAAATCTACATACCTGGGTGGTAAGTATCAAAAGAATCAGAGCCATATACAGTCCCCTTCAGATACCCAGTGCCTGTTGTTCCAAGGTAGTGGCATAAGAATGGGTCTGTGACACCTTCCACATCTGTCTCACTGCTATTATCCATATGACAAGCACCTTGAAATTGGAAAGATATGAATCATCATCATCACATCATCACCATAATAGTTAACATTTATATAGTGTCTACTATGTGCTAGGCACTGTGCTATGTGCTTTACAACCTTTACAATTATTATCTCATTTAATCCTCACAAAAACCTTGTGACGTAGGTGCTATTATTATCATCCCCATTTTGCAGATGAGGAAACTGAGGCAAACAGAAGTTGCTATTTTTTTAAGTGACTTGCCCAGGGTTACACACCTAGTAAGTGCCTGGGGCCATATCTGAACTCATCAGATTTTCCCAACTCCAGCCCTGGTATTCTATCCAGTGTACCTCCTAAATCAGTCACCTACCTGCAAATAAATATTTTCCTATTTGCATTTTCCCCAGATAAGAAGAGAACATTTTAATTAGGTCATCATAAAAAACAGCTCTCTTGTATCATTGGGGCAAATCTACAACTACTTCTTGAAGTCAAAGAAAAATGTTAAGATGGGATTGTTAAGAAAGTTAGCATGGATCACAGATTTAGGGCTGGAAGAGAACTCATAAGCCTTCTCGTACAATCTTCAGTTAAGTGATTGTCCAAGGTTACTTGTGGTTCAGTGGTGGGATTTGAACCTAGATCACCTTACTCCAGGGCCACTGTACAGTTCCCTGTTTCCTCTGATGAAAGCTGAATCAGAATTAGTTTTTTCTTACTAAAAGAATAGTAATCCAGTGAGTTAGTAGAGGGTTTGATACATATCAGCACTTCCTCTAAGATAAAATATGAAGTCCTGGGTTTGGCACATATAACCTTTCCCAGTCTGATCCCTGCCTACCTCTCCAGACCTATTACTCATTATCCCCCTTCACACATTCTGTGGTCTAGCCAAACTGAACTATTTTCCATCGCTAACACACAATATTACATCTCCTGTCTCTGCGTCTGTGTGAAGCCTGTCCCTTAAATTTCAAATTCATTGCCTCATTGCCTCTGTCTTTTATCGCCCCTCATTTTCTTGAGAGTTCAGCTGAAGTGTTACCTCCAACATGACACCTTTTGGGATAAACACAGCTACTAATGCCTCCCCTTCTCAGAAATTAACTTGCATTTGTGTGGTATATATTCTATATTTATTTATATGTGTACATACTGTCTTCTTCTAAAAGATAGTAACTCCTTGAAGGATGGGACTGCATCATTTTTTATTCCCAGTGCTTACTACAGAATAGGCGCTTAATAGATGTTTAGTAACTGACACTCTCATTTAAACAAGCAATAGTATGTGGTCATTGCCTAAAAAAGATTTAAGATTACAAAAGTAGGGACTCTCAGTGTTGCATGAAGGAAATCAAGTTCATTTAGTCTACTTGTCTTGATGTTAGACACAATGAAAGATTTCCTGATAGAGGAAGGAGCAAGATTACGTAATTCACCTTCACACCAGTGACCTTGGGCCGAGTACTAAAATTTCTGTGCTTTAGTGCTTGGTAAAGCATTTAGTCTAACATCCATTTTTATTTCAAATACCTACCATTGCTGTCACGTTGTAAAAGAAAGCCACCCCCTGAAGATGTGATAAATTGGTGATGGCTTCCATTTTCTGATGAGCCGTACCCATCCTGTCTTTCAGCTAATGTTCCCTGGGATGACAAATAACTTGGGATATCAGCTGGTAGATTTGTTTCATCTGTGATTAAAAAAAATACAGCAGGGATTAAAAATACATATATTAGATTACATTATAATTATACCATAACATGATATTGTTATAGACAATATTCATAATTAATATATAATTATAATATTATAAATAACATAATATTTAAAATACCAAATACGGTTATAATGTCTGTTAATCTCCCTCTGAACAACAGCCAATATTATAATGATTTCTAAACTTTTAAATATAGGTTTAATGAAATGAAGATTGAGTTTTTCTAACAAAACTGGTTTAGATCAAGTAATTCTCTCTTAAGCAAGCTAAGGGGCTATGATTATTTAAAGAATAGAATCTGATTTAAAAGTTAACCTTAGGTTATCTCACCTAATCTTATAGTCCCTCTTCCTGAAAAAAAATGCTAAATCAAATGAAGAGTTTCCTTTCCACACCATTACAGGATGTAGATGTACAAAAAGCCAAATTAACCCCCACCCCAAGGAAAGACCATATAGTAAGAGTCTGATAAAATACTTTAAGTATTCATAGCACAGGTAGAGACTCTCCTATCTTCTGACAGCAATGGTAAAAATTATGCTGTATTTTAGTGTGTGCTTTGAAATGTACACAAAAGGCAAACACAAATGCATTTTGGGCTGGGGCAGGGCAGAGGATAATGGGAGTGATGCTATTTTTCACTGATCATATTTCTACAGACTGAAACAAATGAATCACCCTTCTGACTGAATGAGACATAGAGATACACAAATATGTTGGGAGAAGAAAATTACTCCTGAACCACAAACACACATGACTGCTGTACCTGGTGCCAAGCTTCTATTTACACACCTGTGTTTGTAATGCTGCAATCTTCATTTCTCCTCCTTGTGTGGTATATGATGACCACCCACACTAAGGAAGTGCCCACCACACAGCAAACCACTGCTATGATCACAACTCCCACGGTGGCCCATCCATCATCGTCTAATGATGGGGCAGCATTCTGGGGAGAATCACAGGTGGGAGTGGGAATCACACTAAGACGAACATTCCCTCTTTCAGTTCCAAGTGTGTTAGACATTTTACAAGTGTACTTCCCAGCATCCTCCACATCTGTGTCCACGATGATCAGCAGTTGATTTCCCGCAGCAAAAAAATGCCGTTCTGTTACAATTAGAGGACTGTCATCTTTAGTCCAGTTCAACTTGGGTGGAGGGCTACCACCGGCAATGCACTGTAAGACAGCAGTCTCCCCTTTGGTCACAGTTCGATCTAATAATGGCCGCAAAAATGATGGAGTTTCTGAAATGACATTGTTGTATTTTTTTCCCAGTTTCTCACACACGTAAGTTTTCTATACCACTAGATCCAGTAAAATAATTTATTTTAAACTAAAATTTAAAATTTGTAACATTCAACAACTGAAGCATTTTCTTTTAAATGCTTATTTCTTCCTGAAAGTAAGTGGTATTTGCTATTACATTATCCTTTTATCATTCACTTGTGCACGCAACCAGGCTAATGTGTATTAAGGTGGAATATTTATTAATATATGCTCTGACTCGTTGTTGTACTTTATTTTGTTTTTGCTCCAGAGCAAGGGAAATGGCAAAGATGAAGCAAAATCTTATTAGTATCTGAATTAAAATGTGTAGGAAAATAAGTTAATATTAGATTTGCCTGCTGATTTAATCTAAATGGTCAGTTTTTAAATGAAAACTTTCTGCTGAGCAGGTATTATAAGGAAATACTGATAATCATTTTTCATGGTACTGAAAACAAATTCTGAAAGCCAATTATCTAATGTGGGGTTACTTTAGTTACTTCTACAGCTATACGAGAGTGTCTAGACAATCATTTTTTATTCATACTGTACAGTACTATTTCTCACAGTCAGCATGTGTTGGAAGTGGCCTTGGATCCAAGTTTTTCTCATTCCTAGACTAGCTCTCTAGCCATGCTGCCTCTCAAGAGCTAGAATAATATTATTAATAAAAGCAGCTGACTTTTGCATAGTTCTTTAAGGTTTATAAAGCACTTTGCTTTAAAAAGAGATAAAAGGACCATTAATTCCATACTAGTTTTTACAAAAGTATGGGCAGACAAGAAATGAGTAGCCAGAGCTCTTAATAAATTGCTTTTATTTGTTCAATTATTTCAGTTGTGTCCAGCTCTTCATGATGCCATTTGGGGTTTTCTTAGAAAAGATACTGGAGTGGTTTGCCATTTCCTTTTCCAGCTCATTTTACAGATGAGGAAACTGAGGCAAACTGAGTTAAGTAATTTGCCCAGGGTCACTCAGATAATTAAGTGTCTGAGACTAGGTTTAAACTCACAAACATGATTCTTCCTGACTTTAGGCCTGGTGCTCTATCTACTATGCCACCTAGCTGCCCTTGCAGTTAGTTATTAGCCAACTGCTTCAACCTAGGGTTAACCTTCTCTCATCATGCAAAATCACATGTAACAGTGAAGATGATTTTTAAGAGACCACACGGCACTTAGAACAATGCAACAAAACAAAAATAACAACAACAACAACAACAACAAAGACAGGCCTCCTTCCTGGACAAAGCCCTTTAAAACAAGTAGTACACTACTCTAAAATCTTTCCATCTGAGTCATTCTCAAGGATTCTTTGGGAAATAGCCAATTCATTGTAGTTCAGCCCCTGCTCAGTCCCATAGTCACCTGGGTTCAGAATCTAAAGGTTCAACTCACCCAAGACAGTCAGTGTTGCATTTGCTGATATACTCCCAGCACTATTTTGGGCAGTACAGCTATAAACACCAACGTCCTCTATTTTCACATCCACAATAAAGAACACATCATCCTCTGGCATAACATGCATACGTCTCTCCCGAGCTGCTGGAAAGTCTGTGCCGCCATCTTTCTGCCAGGCAATCTGTGGTGCTGGGTGGCCAATAGCAGCACATTCTAGACGGGCCATTGCTCCAGATCGGACTGTAAGGTCCATGGGTATCTTTGTAAATGAAGGAAGCACTAAAATCAGAAAGGCATATGTTAGTACCTCAGTCATCCTTGTAATCTTTCCATCTTACATTCTGATCTGGTTTGCCTAGTTTTAAAGCAATTTTATGTAGTTTATTTCCTTTGGTTCTCAAAATAATCCTGTGATATAGTCAGGGCAGATAAAACTTATCTCCATTTTATAGATTAAAAATATGCTTAGCACAGGTAAGTGATTGACCCAAAGTTATATGGCTAGTAAGAGCTAGGAAGTAAATCTAAAAGTCTTCTGACTCCCCCATTTAGAATTCTTTCAGATATTTTTATTGTATTTTAAGGGCACCTGAATTGTTTGTTTGGGCCAGAGGATAAGTCTAAGAGTCATGGGTAGAGGTTAGAAAGAGAAAAGATTTAGATTCAATATAAGGAAACACTTCCTAACAATTTGAGCTACCAAAAAGCAGAAAGGGTAGCATTAAGATGTTTCCCATTGCAAGAGATCTTCAAGAGAAGTTTGGAGGAGCCCTTGCTGGGGATGCTGGAGATAGGATTCTCAGTTGAGTACAAGTTGAATTAGATGATCTCTGAAGGCCCTTCCAAATCTGTGGTACTGTGGTCTGATTGTTAAGGTTCCTTTCAGACCCAAAATATCATGATTCTAAGCTGGATTTATTTTCCTTTTCTTAAATTCACACTCCTCCTTTCTATATAGTTAGCTGCAAAGATCTATGTAACAACACTAACATAAATGGGAACATAATGACCTCTGAGAACAGGCCACTAAAACAGTGACATGAGCCATTCAAATCACATCAAGGCATTCCAAGTTGGAAGGAAGAATGACAAGGGTTAGAAAAAGGAAAAGAGGCAGACTTTTCTAAAACAATTAACTCTCTTTAAATGCAAAAAGAAGAAAAGAATCACATACTATTTACAGTTAGCTTGGCTTTGACAGAGTATGATGAACCAAAGTGATTAGAAATGACACATTGGTATTTCCCTTCAGTGGTAAATTGGACATTGCGCAGCCGAAGAATTGTAGTGTACTCCATTACTTCACCTCCCTGGGCCCGCAGGTGTGCATAATTTTCCATTTCAGCATCATGGAGTAGTTCATTATCTTTTTTCCAGGCAAATGTCATTGGGGAGTCACTGCTGCTAGCAGCAGAGCAGATAAAACTCAAGTTGGAGCCTTTTATTGCCGACTGGGTCTCTGGCTGGACTGTGATCTGAGGTTTAGGAAAATCATCTATCAAAATCAACAAAGAAGAAATGTAAAAATTAAGAACTTCAGTGCCCAAAGACCAATACCAATACCAATACCAATGAAAGTGTAGGAGTAGGTTTTTGCTTGCATGTCTTTAAATTCAATCAATGAATCAACATTTATTAAGTGCCTACTATGTGCCAGGCACATGATAAGCACTAGGGATAAGAAACAAAAGATAGTCCCTATCCTCAAGGAGCTTACAATCTAATGGGGGGGAGACAACATGCAAATAAATACATACATATAATATGTATGCATATGTGTGTATATATATATATGTATGTGGGTATACACACACACACACACACACAAAGTAAGCTAGATACAGGACAATATGAAAATAATTAACAGAGGGAAGGCACTAGAATTAAGAGGGGTCAGGAAAGGCTTCCTGTAAAAGATTTTAGTTGGGACTTAAAGAAAGCCAGGGAAGTCAGTAGGTGGAATTGGGGAGGGAAAGTGTTCTAGGCAACATATAACAGCTTAGCTAGGAACTAGGTGCAAGAAGTAGATAATGGACTACAATGTTTGCTAACTGAGTTCACTTGGAGGCAGAAGAGATTAGGTCTTGTTTTTAATCAACCAGTAATACTAACTTATATTTATAATTTTTTTTTGATATACATAATTTCATTTGATCCTTTCAATAGCCTTTTTGTTATTGTTTTCAGAAGGCAACTAGTTGGTGCAGTGGATAGAATGCTGTGTCTGGAGTCAGGAAGGCTCATCTTCCTGAGTTCAAATCTGGCCTCAGACACTTACTAACTGTGCAGCCCTGGGCAAGTCACTTAACCCCATTTGCCTCAGTTTATACTTATACAAAGCTTTTTATATTCATAATCTCATTTGACCATTACAATAGCCTCAGGAGGCAGGTATTATTAATCAACAAGCATTTCAGAAACACATCCTATGTTCCAGGCATGGTGCTATATGTTCTGAGGCACAGTCACACAGCTAGTCAATGCCTGAGGCAGGATCCAATTCCCTGTCTAACTACTTAGAGCCTAAGATTCTAGGCCACTATACTACCCTTCTCTGATACTACACAGTAAGAGGATGCAACTTTATGGCTATCAGAAAAAACACAGTCAGCCCCTTGATGTAAAGAATTTTACTTCATGTAATTTTTAGAAAGAAACTAGATAAAAAACTGTACTGAAGTCACGGTCACCATTCCTAATGTCTCCAGTCTTCCAGAGCCGTAATCACTATTATGATCTCAACATGGAGTCAGGAAAACAAAAACAGATAATTTGTCTGGTGTGTTAGCAACTAGTTCTACATTTTACAAAGACAGAACTGACACCATATCCAATCATTTAGGCATACCACCACTTAAGCAATAAGCAGACTGCCGTAAAAAACAAACATCCCAACAATGGTCAGATAAGTCATCTCAGCAGGGAGGTTTTAAAACTGAATCAATCTTACTACTCCAAGGTACTATCAGGGAAACACCATAATTACAATCATGCAGCTCATCTTTATAAGCAGCTATTTTCAGTTTTCTTCTTTTCTTTCCTCCCCGCAAATTAACTTTCTGAACTTAAATTTCCCAGAAACGTCGAAACCCCAAAGAGAATACTTTTGATTAATCCAAATCCCCACCCTATGCTTCACTAGTTTGGGGCTCTAATAATTCAGCTGCATTTAAAGTCTCACAAATGGTTTGCCATAATCGAGATTAATTTTTTCCTGACTTGTAGGGATTTGATTAATCTTATTCATACCTGAATCAATGTTCAAATATACAATGAGGAAGTATCAAAAAAGGCCCCTGGTAACTGTATGTTAATATAAAGTTCATTTAGCCATGATTTTCACTTCAAATTTGCTCTTTAAGTAGTTCAGGATTAAATTGTGTCTATTGTAGGTATATATTTTTTCATTATTATTTTTTCTTCTTGATTTTTCTAAGATCTGATGCTATCTCTGATTAGTTGATGGTTTGACACAGACCGCTGACTGAGAACTAACTCCCATATCAACAAGAAGTCTTATCTAATTTCTGTTAAAATATAGTGTTTCATTTTTTGGATAATATTATTGGGTGTTTGACATGTCCAGTAACAACCAAGCGTTTTTTTGTTGCTGTTGTTTTGTTTTTGTTTTTTAAAGAAAGTGTTGATGATCTGGTAGAAGCACAACATTTCTGTTTACTCTAATGGTCTTCAGCTTCTCTTGTTTTTTCTTCTTTGCCCCATGGGAAATTAGAAACAGAAAGGACATTGACTCTGATTCTAATAATTTTGTAATCTAGTTTAATTTATGTAAGTCAATCAACAGGCATATCAGAAAAGCACAGAGAGTGCCTTAGCAAGTAACCATGTGACTTACATGTCAAATGGAAGTAAGTGGCTGCCAAAGGCAACACTCAGAACATAAACTTGTTTGCAAAATCTTGCAAAGGAAGATGATGGATCATTATGAGCAATACTATCTTATAAAAAAAAGAAACAGTAGAGGGCAAAACCAGTTTAAAGATAGCTTGGCAAGACATTCAATTAAGCAAATTATTCCAAGGGGATTTAAGGATAAAAATTAAAGGAATACAATAAATAGATGAAATGGAAAAGATTTATTTAAAAAATTATAACAAATTCTTTTTTTCTATTAATGAAGGTGAAACCACCATGCTGGGGCCCTAATATTATAGCCCTATATGTGCTTGTAGAGAAAGTAGAAATGGCACTAAAAAAAAAAACAGAAATAGGGAAAGCAACTGGATACAATGAAATGGACACAAGAGATCCTTTCCGGAGGCAACACAACTGTGAGAGCACTGTGGGACTGAAAAACAAGATAACTAGAGGAAAAGATACCAAGGGCATAGAAAAAACAAACAAACAAACGCAGAGCTTCCTAATACAAATAAAAGGCAACAGAAAATAAATATTAACAACTGTCAACCTATGCTTTTTTTTATTGCTGAGTCATTTCAGTCACATCCAACTCTTCATGACCCCTTTAGGGGTTTCTTGGCAAAGATACTGGAGTGGTTTGCCAGTTCCTTCTCCTGTTTATTTTACAGATGAGGAAACTGAGGCAAACGGGGTTAAGTAAATTGCCCAGGGTCACACAGCTAGCGTCTGATTTGAATTCATGAACATGAGTTATCCTGATTCTAAGCCCAGTGCTCTATTCACTATGTCACCTCATTGCCCTAATCTGTCTTTACTCCTATTAAATTATGAAGAGTATCTTGTCAATGAAGGCATCATGGAACAAGCAGGCTTGTCAAAGCCATAATCAACAATAGACCACATTGCTCTTGTTTCATAAATGACTGCAAGATGTGGAAAATTTAAGATTCCATCATGTTTACTGTTTGTTGGATATGGAAAAATGTATTTAATTGTAGTAAAGCAAAATGCCATGCCACGTTACAGGTTCCTGTTTGGCAAGGTGAAAGCCATGTATATATTAGAATCATTCAAGATGCCTTGAAAGACATAACAGAAACTACCTTGTTCAATGACCCTCAATCCTAAATGTGAAGTAATGCATAGTGGTCTCCACAGTGATGGAAGAAATCCAGTGCAAAGTCCAAGGGATACCCTGTGAATGGCAAGGTACTTCCAAAGATCATGTTTGTGGACGACATTGTGCCTGGTGCATTTGAGTCCCAGCACAGTGCAGGACCTCCTGCGAGAGATATGGAATCATTCAAAGGAGTTTGGCCTAACCATGCACATAGGAAAGACAAAGTGGATAAAGGATGGCTACTGACCAGATTATAACATGTATTTGGATATATAACATATAGTGCTTGTCTGTCTGTCTATCTATCTATCTGTTTTGAGGAAAGGCAGTAGAGATAGACAAAAAGTTGTAGAATCAGAATAAAACAAAAAGAAGAACAGATTAAATTGCTTTTGAAAATTCTACTTTCAATGGAATGACCTGAAACCTTCTATGAAAGCAAAGGCCTACCATCTTTTTAACACAAAAATTCAGTGTTGCTATATGGCAAAAAACAACAACAAAAAAAACAAAACAAAAAACAAAAAACAACAACAACAACCCGGAATACCACAGTCTTTGAAGAATTAACAGTCAATACCAATTTTACAGAGGACAAAAAAAGGTACATAGTGTTTTTGAAGAGGCTTCAATAACCAATGAGGAACTTCCAAAAAATTAAAAAATAAAAACCCGGAGAAATAGATGCCATTAAGGAACTGTATGACAGGAAGTGGTCATATGGTAAGTGTGCGGGGTGACAGGTGTACACCAGTCCACTGGTATCATCTAAAAACCAAGAGAAAGCAATGAAGGTCCCCCGCATGGCGGTGAGGCCTCTACCCTTAGCTTGTGGTGAACTTATGGGAGGGTGTAGACAAAAGTGACACAGAGTAGACAGGCATTGATGGTTCACAATCTGTATCACTGCAGGAAGTTTCCAAATTGAATATATCACAGATATATTTGAATACTCAGTAATGCATATCAAAATTTTTATTCAGCTTCCTCTGATATGCTTGAGTATCTCATTAATCAACAATAACAAAGAAGGAACAACCTCAGGCAGTAAGGAAATTATAATTTCTGCCCTAGTTATGCCTTATTTCTCTATCTGTAAAACAGATGCAAGTCTTGTCACAATTTCTCTCACATAGGTGTTCTGTCAACAAATACCTATCCCTTTACCACATGCCTCATCACAAGGCCAAGAGGATGACAATTCAGCTATATCAGATTGATCACACCAGCTTAAACCCTCAAATGACTACTAAATCAAGGCAGATGATGTAATTTTATTTATGTATGAAAGAGTCACAGGGTATCACATTGCTTTGTACATGATAGGAATTGTATGATAAGGAGAGAAGATGAATATGGCAAGCATGAGGGGTGATGGGTATATTCTTAATAAATACTGAATTAATTTGGCATTCTGACCAAACTCAAATCAATTTCAGGACAAGGAGTCTTTTATAAAGTATAAGGTCTTATTCTAGGTAACAGAAATTTCTACATTAAACTTCTATTTACAATTTCATATCCACTCATTTCTTAGTAACAAAAACTGACCACTTTAATGTATTATCTCATTGCATGAAATATTAAATTTATATATACATATATGTATACATATAGGCATATGTTAAATATATTTACTAAACATTGATAAAATTTCTATACACTGATAAAATCTGTGTGCATATACACTTTTTATGTATATATGTAAGTATATATGTGCATATGCATATTTTATGTATGCATGCATATTGAGATATACATGCAAATGTACACCTATATGTATATACAAACATGTACATACATTTGATTACATAAATGTACACCTATATGTATAAACAAACATGTACATACATTTAATACGTAAATCTACACCTATATGTATATACAAACATGTACATACATTTAATTACATAAATGTACACCTATATGTATATACAAACACATACAGGCATTTAAATTATGAAAATGTACACCTATAGGTATATACACAGGTAAATATATTCAACTATATAACTGTACACATAGGTATATATACAAATGTATATACATTTAAATATATAGAAATGTATACACAGGCATATATGTGTATATATAAATTTAATATTTCACACACATTTCCAACTTCCCACAAGTCTCTGTACAAGTTTCATATGTTTTGGGGTTTTTTTTATGGCTTTGTACAAGCCATAAGCTAATAATCTTTATCACACCATGTGAAAACAGAATAAGTAACACTAAAAACATTTTAAAATCTTCCTCCCCATCTGTATAACAATAAAATGACAGAGTCTAGTAACCCATCTCAAAGTGGCAAAAGACAAATAAATGAGCTGATAACAAGAAAGGGATCACTTTCCCAACAACATTCTTAGAGTGGGCAGGGAGCAGTTGACTAGGACAGGTGGACAAGAGTCATACTCACCACAGACAAAGCCATCTGGACTCACAGCAAAAATACTTCTTCCTTTTAGCTGCTGGGGATGGGCACAACTGGCATTAACTGAAGTCTGAAAGTTGTTTTCTGCCACCCATTGGGGAAGCCACTTGAGCTGGCAATCACACAGAAGACTTGATGTATTTAAATGCCTGAGGAGGGTAATTATATTTGAGTTTTTCTCTATGAAATACTTATCTCTCCAAGTCAACCAAATGCATATAAATAATGACAATCAGATGCATTTTCAAGCTGAAAATGCATATCCTAAGTTAGAAATGTCCTATAGATCATCTGTCTTATGATGCAACAAGATGTGTAATTCATTTTTTTTTTTTGGCCCCCTGACTTGTTGTAAATGCTGCTATTATAAAAACTCACTACAGAAAACTTTTCTGCCTACAACTGTGTTGCCTGATATAGTAGAATCTACAAAGTTAAACTCAGGAGTCTAGCCAAGTCACACTGATCATTTCATTGGTCCCCACCTCTATTTCTTATATGATCCAATCAAGTTTCAAAGGATAGACAGGAATGGGTGAGTAGTGACCCTCATCACTGGAGTGAGTAGCCACAGTGATAAAGAACAGATCAGCCAAAGTATTTCTACTACTGTAGAAATAATAATATTACATATAGGAAACTACTGGGTGAGAAAATTCCCTCTGACCAACATCGACAAGTCAGCACCGTCTCTGCAACTTATGGTCATGGTGAGTTGCCTTGATCACTGAGAAGTTAAGTGATCTGTCCAGGGTTCCTGAGTCAGTTATGTGTCAGAAGTAGAACCTGAACCCAGGTCTTCCTGGTTCTAGGGTCAGCTTTCTCTCCATTATGCCATGCTGCTTCTATCTAGGATAGTCATATTATGGGAAAAAAAAAACCCAACAAATAAACAAAAAAAAGCTGACATTTGTGTAGTTCTTTAAGGCTTTACAATGTACTTTAGATATATTATTTCATTTGCTCTCATTTAAACCCAGTGGCATCTCTTATACTCTATGTACTGCTCAGAACAATTTGAAAAGAAAATACAAGCTTACAATTCTTGAAGTTTCTTCATTTGTGAAAATGTGTTTCCTTGTAAGGACATGATAGCATTATTGCTCAGGTCTCTGAAAAGAGGTATACGAAAAATAAATATAGTGAATCAATGTTGATTCCTGGTAAAATTCCTGGTAAAAAGTATAAGAAGAGATCATAATTGTTTCTGAGCACTTAGGAAGTTAGGGAAGCAAAAGATCATTCAGAACAAGTCATACCAGACCTAATTTCCTTTATGCATGAGGTTCCTAGACTGACATATCACAGTAATGCCACATACGTTATGTATCTGGGCTTCAGCAGAGTCTTTGACACACACAATTAAGGAATCACAGAGTGGAACTCAGGTAAGATATCTGAGGACATCCAGTCAAGGAGGACACTGAGGCACAGAAAGTTTGATTAACTTGCACAAGGATGCACAGCAAACAGAACCAGGAATGGAAACTATGTTCTTTGGCTTAGGTCTGGTACTCTTTCCACTGTACCACCATGTTGCCTCATGTATGGTAATTCCCAAGTGGAATAACATAGAGATTTATTCTGGATTCAGTTCAACATCTTTAACAATTATTTAGACTGAGCAGGCCAGCTTCTCAGATTTGCAGATAACACAGAGTTTGTTGTTGTTGAATCTTTTACACTCATGTCTGGGACTTTTTTTGGGCAAAGATGTTGGAGTGGTTTGCCATTTCCTCTCCAGCTCACGTTATAGATGAGGAAACTGAGGCAAGCAGGGTGAAGTGACCTGCCCAGGGTCACACATCCAGTAAGTATCTGAGGCCAGATTTGAACTCGGGCAGATGAGTCTTTCTGACTTCAGGGCAGGAATGCCCTCCACTGTGCTACCTAGACGCTCCTACAAAAAGTTAGGCATTGTCTATGATTTAGTGGATAACGGAATTGTTATCTAAAAGAAAAGATGTCAACATGCTAGGATAGTGGGACAAAATAGTGAAAAGGAATAGGACTAAATTTGAATTACCTGTACTAGGTTTCAAAAATCTTACTGATAAGATGAGGGAAGCATGTTTAGACAGCTATTGGTTTAGAATACAACTCAGAGATTTTAACAAGACTACAATCAAAGCATAAGTCAATAGTGTGATATGGCAGTCAAAAGGTAATGTGATCTTACATTTCATTCATTTAGCATTCAAACAAAGGATAGGGCACTAGTCCCACTGTCTTGTTCAAACCACATCTAGAACACTACATGCTAAAATGTGGGTGCCAAATTTTAAAGACAATGACAAATCACTGTGTTTCCAGAGAAACATAACCAGAATCAAGGAACTTAGAACCCCTCTACAAACAGGCCGATGAAGGAACTGGGCATGTTTAACTGGGACAAAAGAAGATATAATGGGTGTAATAAAGACCTTTAAAATACCTGGAGATCTAAACAGAAAAAGGCCTAGAAAGATTAGGTGCTGCTTGTCTTCCAAAGCCAAAACAAGGACCAATGGATGAAAATGACAAGGAAGCAGACTTCAGCTTAAGATAAAAGACTTCCTAACAATTTGAGCTGTACAAAAGCAGAATGAACTTTCTTGGGAACTGCTATATAATTCAGACAATGGTGTAGGTCTCAGTTTGGGGGGATTGCAAAGAAAGTTTTTTTTTTCTTAAAGCTGAACCAAAAAGAGTTCTTTGCAGTTCTTTAGGCTTTGTTTGTGAGAAATGGGCCTATTATTTAAAGCCTTCTTCTGTTTTTAAGCAGGTTCAATTTTATTTGCAACTAAATTGATGAGCTGTGGAGTAAAAGAAGCTGGCTATATGAACACAGGTATACAACACAGAAAAACAAACAGAACAGTAAATTACTTTTTGCAAACATCTCCCTCCCCCTTTTTTCCCAAATTGTCTCCTACATTATATTGTTTGCATAGTAAAGTGAATCTGAAGAACTGTCCTATAAGGGGGAGTAAATAAATGTAACAATCTATATTTCACTTATTTTCATATGTGTTACCTTTTGCACAACATTCAAAAAAAGGTGCACTTTGAAAAAGAATCTACATTACCATTCCTGGAAAGCATATATCCTTATAACAACCTGGGGGCGTAACTAAAGCAAATGGACAAGCAAATGGTTGTGAGATTTAGATCTTGAAAGAAACTTAGCGACTATTGTGTCCAAACCCTCATTTCACAGAAAACCCTGTGGCCTAGAGAGGTCAGGAGATTTGCCTATAGTCATGATTTTATCATATTGTGAAAAATTATATCTTTCTAGGTTTTTTTTTTGTAATAATGAGTCAGAAATATTGACTTTGAAAATGCCCCACAGTGAGAAATGAACAAGATTCCTCTTACTTACAGGTGTTCCAGAGCATCTAAGCCAGAAAATGCTTTTTTGGTAATAGATCTAATCCGATTTCCTTGGAGTAACCTGAAAACAAATATATTGCAAAATAGAGTAAGTAAATAAAAATATTTTGAGAATCCTAACCAAAATGGTTTCTAAAGTGTAGCTAAGCCTCAAACAATTTTCCCTGATTCCATTCTCAACATTGAAATAAATGTTACCATTTCGTCCATTGTATCCATTTTAATAAATGTGAAATAAGTAAAAATAAATAAAATAATAAAATTAAAGTAAAAAATAAATTAAATGAATATATATTTTAATAAATTTTGTGTGGGCTTTCAAACATTATGATTAATGCTTAACAATTTAGGAAGATAGAACTTTCACGAATATAATTTCCCCCCATGCAAAGGCATCGTATAATCATCTTGTGATTCTTTATTGGATTGCTTTTTATAAACCTTGCTGGGGGTAACTTAATTCTGCACTCTGACAATTAACTCCCTGATACTTTGAGCAATCACACTATGTATAAAGGTTGCAAAATGTTGAAATCATAACCTTCTATATGAATTAAATTCAACAGATAATATTAGGTACCTGCTTTGTACAAAGTACCACTCAGTATTGAGGATACAGGGTTAAAAGGCACCACTACTCAGCCCTAGGGGAATTTATAATCTACATGGGGGGGGGGGGAGGAGGAGAGGGAGATAAAGTATATGAACTTCATTTTTTAATGGCATTTTATTTTATTTTTTCCAATTACACATAAAGACAATTTTTAACATTCATTTTTTATAAGATTTTAAGTTTCAAATTCCCACCCCCTTCCCTCTCTCTTCCCTAAGATAGTAAGCAATTTGTATATGAACTTTAAAAACAAAAGATATAGTCACATGTGAAATTGTTTCTACTTCGCTAAATTGTGAGAGTGTACATATGTGTGTGCATGTATATGTATAATAATGGAACCTAATGATCTGTGGAACCTTGGGCTAAGTACACTATGACTCATTGCCTGTAGTACTTTGTGCTTTGAGATAATGAAGCAATCTTGCTATTGACCACTGAGCCAGAATGAGCCACCCATGAAGCAGCCTTTATAAAGAGAGAGAATTTCTTTTCTCACATTTTATTTTTCTTTCCTCTCTTCAGAATGTGTGGCATGGAACTTTCTTTGGGATGGGCAGCAAGAGAGATTGCCAGATCCTATGTGGTTCACTAGAAGTGGCCCAGGGTCCCACAGATGGGGGTGAGGTGATCTATTTAGCTCTGTGTGTGTATGTATTTAAACACTTATGCACATGTACTTAAAAAAATAGGTAATAGAAATTCAGTTTCCTTTACAATCTTCTATCTTATTCTTTGCATATGAAATATTCATGTTGGTTGATGCTAACATGTTAAGTTCACAATATTTTTTTAAAGAAGAAAGTAGGGTCTACAGGTATATACTATAAGTAATGTCAGACTGGCGCAATCATTCAGCTGCTAGGGGTAGGTGTGGGGTGATGGTACAGAAAAGGATGACTCAGAAAAGGATTCATGGGGAACAGTGGCACCAGAGTTGGGCCTTGAAAAAGTAGCATTTTGATTTGTGGAGATGTGTTAGGTATGCATTCCAGCCACAAGGAAGGACCTGTACAAATATCCAGAAGCTGGGGGAACAACTTACAATACAGTTTAGTTTGCACCAGTGTGTGATGGGAGAAATGGGGAAGAAGCCTACAAAGAGAGGACAGGTCCTAGAAAATGAACATTTTATAAAACAAAGGAAAGTCACTGAATGCTTCTAAGGGAGGGAATGATAGTAGGGAGATTATTTTAGTGGCCATGTGAAGGATAATATTCCCAATCAAACTATTTTCTACAGTTATGAATATATGGCTAAGGAGAAGTGCTTCATAAATAAATACTATTGATATTGTCTTGCTTTGAACCTAACAAGTAGGAATATATAACGCACCTTTAATAATATATAGAACTGTTCTGGGGAGAAGGAAGTAAAACAATAAGCAACCAGTTACAAATTCAGTTTCAGATGTTTAATTATGGTACTGATCTCATTTAATAATAAATTTCTTTAGGTGAAAGATTGAGATGAGCCAGAAAAGAAATCAGACTCACAGCCTACGAAGTTTGTCAAGTCCTGAGAAAGCACCATTCATATCTTCAATGGTCCATGAGATTTCATTGTTTTTTAGATCTCTGTTGTAAACAAAGCATTTTATGATGAGGGATAGAGGAACTAACCCACGTGTGTACTTCAGGAAGAAACAGCTATGATCCTCGGAGATTTAATAATCAATTAAAGCTATTTCATTCAATAAACATCTTTTATGTATCTACTAAGTGTAAGGGGATACAAAAAACAAAAAACAAAAAATCCTTGCCCTCAAGGACTTTACGTACTGCTGGTTAGTATCACGTTGAATTTAGTACGCAAAAGCAATAAAACTTTAATAAATAATAATAATAATAGTATCATGTTGAATTTAGTACATAAAAGCAATAAAACTTCAATAGTAATAATAATAATAATAATAGTAATATGTGTTGAATTTAGTATGTAAAAGCAATAAAACTTTAATAATAACAATAATAATAATAATAACTAACATTTTTTGGCATGGTAGATTTCTTGTGGCACTTGGAGTCAGGAAGACTTGGGTTTGATTCTTGTCTCAGACACTGCCCTGCATAAATCAATTAATTTCTCTCTGCCTCCATTTCCTCATATGTAAAATGAGTATAATAATACATTCCTCATAGGGTTGTTGTGATGATCAAATGAGATAACACATATAAAAGCAATTTGTAAATCTTAAAGTGTTATGTAAATGATATTATTATTATTGTGCTTTATAGTGTCTCATTTGAGCCTTGCAAGAACCCTAGGAGATAGTTATTATTATCCTCATATTATAGATAAAGAAATGAGGTAGAGCTATCAGATGACATGCCCAGAATCACAGTGATGTTAAGCAAGTTCAGCACTCTACCTACTATTGTCAGAGACATACACGTTACAAAATTTCCCAAACCCTTTGGCCAGAGCAAAGTCAGTCAGGAGCTTCCTAGCCCCCTATTAATGTGGATATATACAGATGACTGTTGTTTGTCCTTCATTCCCTAAGAGGATCATGACATCAGGAATATGATGCCATGACTTTCAAGTGAATTGGATTTAAGGGAGGGAGGACTGTGCAAAATTACCAGCCTCACTTTCTCCTCTGGAGCCATCTGGGTCCAGTGGCAAGATACAGATCAGGAAGACTGGAAATGGTCCCTGATGCAGTGGGAGACCTTGGCCTTTTAAGCTAAGGTCTTTCCCAGGTCTCAGTTTGACTGTGGCAACACCCATTCAGTGATTAAGGCTAGGTAAGAAATGAAGCAAAGAATGGCCTATTTTACCTAGTTAAAAAATCAATCTGGGAGGGGAAGACCCTCAGGGTTTCTGGCAAAAAGGAAATAATTGCTATTTACAGTCACTCAGCCTTCAGGGCCCAAACAATGACCCAGTGAGGCTTGGGCTGGGACCTGTTGTTGGCCAATCAATGAGAGACAGTGATTTCGGTTTAAGGCATGGACCTTAAGAAAGCAGTTTAGCTGGTAAACCCCAAGATATCTTGTGAGGTTTCGGAGATCAAAATGTATACTCCTTTGGGCAGAGCACCCACTCTGGATTTGGGTTTAAGGCATGGTCTTTAAGTAAGAAAGGGCATGCCTTAAACCAAAATCCAGATGACTAGGTGAATACTAAAAACCTAGATGTTCCAAAAAGTTGGTTAAACATTAAAACCACTGTTCCAACCACACAAGCCAGAGTTTGCCAAAGCATACAAAGTATCTTTCAATTAGGTAATGTTTCAAATAGTGAACAGAACAAAATGTTTCTAATGCATAAGGAACAAAAGTAAATTATGCAAGGTAAATTAACTCTTCAGATATTTAAAATAGTCAATAAAGTTAGCTTCGTTTCTCTGTAAAGATAGAGGTGAATTTTAATATACTGCTAATATCATACGATTTACCTTCTTTTAGTGGTCCCATAACATTTATGCCTTTGGTTATTTTTTAATCTGTAATTCTTATGAGGAAAAATTAGTGGATTTAATTTTTTTTCCTCTTGAGACATTTACATCAACTTCCTTGAGATTATGACAACACTGTAATCAACAAGAACAATCTCATCATGGTCCTATTTAATCTTTTTAAGAAACACATCTGGATACAGTGGATCCGTTTTAATGAAACTGATCTGGGAAAGATTAAGACACTATTTCTGAGGTTGTACACATTTCCTTCACAACAAAGACAAGCTGCTTGGGAGTAAGTGGGCACATTTAGGAACCAATTAAGCTCATGTACTGAACGCAAAATGTGTAACTTACAATGTCTGTAAACTGGAAAGCCCCCGGAAGGCACAATCAGCAATGTAGCTGACTTTGTTGTTTCCAATGTGGAGAGTATTTAGTAAGCTTAAGCCAACGAAACTTGAATCATCTAACCTTGCTAAGTGATTGAAAGTCAGGTCACTGCAAAGGCAAAATAATTGAGTCAATGTTAATAACATGTTCCTCATTGAATTCAATACAATGCTTTATTTTTGCAGAAAAGCTATTATAACAATAATCCCCATAAAATTATCCTTAATAATACTGAGTTTGTGCATGATTTCTGATCTGAGCAAATTAAACAAATGAGATTCTTTTCATTTGAAAATGACCGTGGCAATATTTCAGCACATGTATCACTACAATTAAATAGATGCTCTTGGCTTCAATTTATCACAATACAACTGGGGGAAGGAGGGAGGAAAGAAAGGAGAGTGGTAGTAAGGGATGGATGATGGGAGGGAAAAAGGGAGGGGAGAGAAGGTGGGTGTTGTCACCTTGGAAACTTAGTTAGGAAAAGCTCACAGATCTGTTTTGGCACGAACTCTGTAGTGAAGAGAATAAAAGTCAACTCACAGCTCACTGAGTTTCTGGCAGAATTCCCAGGCATCAGAGCTGATCCTGTGAATAGCATTTTGGCTGAGATGGAGCTCCTGCAACATCAGCAAGCCATAAAGCCAGCCTTTGGTGATCTCTGTCAGGTTGTTATGGTCCAGCTGCCTACATCCACAACAGGAAGCAAAGACAGGACTCAAATACTCATTGTATTATCTGCCTTGTCATATATATATGAGAGACACATTAGATTACAACAGATCATATGTCTTTGTTGTTAAGTACTTGGGACTGGAGGATGCAAAAAAAGTTTGGTTAAGAGATCAAAGGAAAGGAAAGTACATGTTTACAAATTCTTATTACTGGTACTTGAAACATTATTGAAAACAAAATAATCAAGAGACATTAAATATAATGACCTCTGGAAAAGATCTGGAACATAGCTCTTCAGTTTCCTTCCAGTTCTAATAATTGTCTTCCATGATTCTAAGATTGGAAATTCTAAAAGGAAACTGTGATGGTTCACACTTACAAGATCTCCATATTGCTAAGTCCCCAGAAAGCTCCATCCATAAGTTTGTTTATTCCATTTCTTTGCATTTTTAGTGATTTCAGAGCACCCAGTCCTTGGAAGGTGAGTCCATCCACTTTTCTAATCTTATTGCGATTCAGTTCCCTGTAAGGAAAATGAGAGTTGCACATTTAGTTTACACAATCAGAATCAGCAGGTACTTTCTCACTATATAGACACCAATAAAAAAAGAGCTGCCCTTCACAAAAGGTCAATTTCAGTACCTTATCATGGTCCAAACATGACCCTAGGTTCTCAAAGGATGCCTTGATAAACCACAAGCTCTGACAGGTCTTACAAATCTTGATATAGGCCCCAAACAAGGATCAGCCTAGACTGTCCCTCAAGTTTAGAGAAAGACTTATCACTAGGTGATAAACATTTCTGTCAAGCAAATCAGGAACCACTGACTAAATGTTTGAAGTTGAATTGGTTGAAAAGGGTGTCAATGATGATGAAATCATGGATATTTTCAGGTACTAAATATAAAATATTTATGCCCTTTGATTTCAATATAAATACCCAAACATTTTTTATTGGAAAGAGTTTGTAAAAGAGGTCATTTTCTTTTGAAATCACAAGTCAAATAAAATGTATTAAATTATGACACAATTCCATTAAAATAAAATTATTTCTTGATTTTTAAATTTTGGTCCATTGAGAATAAACTCAAAATCATTTGTAACAATTCAGGATTGCATCTGAAATGAAAACACTGTCATCATTCCATGTAGCCCAGTGGACCAAGCGAGTTCATCCTGTCAAGTCTTAGATCATTAATCACTCTCTAGTTTTGAAAAAAGCTATTTAAAAACAATAAGCATACAAGAAAGATGTTTTCAGTTACTTAAACAATCAAACATCATTGTTTATATTATAGGACTGGCGAGCATCTTTGTTTCTTTCAACAGGAAGACTTGAAACTTGTTTTTTGTCTTTGTTCAGTACTGACAACAGTTATTCTTTGAGTTAGAAAGTAACATCTGTAGCATAAGACAATTTGAAGGAAACAGTGCATCTCTTGGCATCTAAGACATTTTAACATGTTGCTATTTACTCGAGAAGCTCTGAAAACTGTTGAGGACAAAAACAAATTAAAAGACACATTATACTTACAGATGTTGCAGATGAGGCAGTTTAAACATCTTTGGGGGAATAGTTGAGATTTTGTTCCTATTCAGTTTCAGCACCTGAAGAGTGTTAGCCAAATTGTCAAAGGAACCAGCTTCCATGGATCTGATTGGGTTGCTATTTATATACCTGTTGAAAGTAAGTAAGGTAGATGAATTTCCCTTTTTTTGGTTTTGTCTGTGAAGGGAAAAAAAAGTCTTCTCCACTTCAGGAGAATTCCTGTCAAGCTGAAGCCTATTGCCACTGGACACAATGGATATTTGTTTATTTCTACTGGTCTAAACTATTTTCATTATGATACTAAGATCTTTTAACTTCTATTACAATAAATATAAACCGACTCATATAAAAGCTCTTTGTGATCCTCAATAATTTTTAAGGAAGGGGTCCTGAGACCAAAAAGTCTGAGAACCACTAATTTGAGAATCACTGTTCTAGCCTAATTCTGGGTAGGTGGCAGGCAACTAGGTGAGGAAGAAGTCTTACATTAACAACCTTTTGTAATAAGAGCAGTTTGACACCTTGGAAAGCATGAAATAATAAAAACTGATCAGTACATTATGCAGAGGTTGATATAACCAAGTGTAGCAGAGTGAGTTCATTTAATTTATAAGAAATTTTTGTAAAGATTTTACTCACTCCCAAAATAGGATCCACTTGAATCCTGTTGCTTTCTATTAGCCAGAAAGGATATAGATGTCTATAAGAAATTTATCTATTTCAAAAATCAATTGATTGCCTTTACAGTAACATAAATCAAAATTAAACCACTTATAATAGTAGAGAATGATATACCAAAATAAGCACAAATGTTATATTTTAGATACTACTATATTAAACCTTTTTTGAAGGAATACTTACAGATATTTGAGCTGTAGAGAAGGAAATGTAGTTTTGAGTTCTGAAATATTGTTGCTGCTCAGATCTAAAGTTTCCAGTGATTGAAATGGTTTTAGTTGTTCAGGTAAAATTTCAGTGATTTTATTATTGGCCCTGGAATTTAAAGATATCACAGTTGACAATGATAAATGATTAACTTGCTCACATTCTTATGATGCTGTATGGATAACAAAACTTTTTACATACATTATTACCTTTTTTTTACTATTATCATATTATCATTTTTAAGTGATTATGGTCAACCAACTGGTATCATGGTGTCTACTGATATTAAGAATTTTCTGCTTCCACAATGTTGGAGTATTACAGGGACTCATAAACACTCAAAAGAGATTGGCCTAACAATCTACATGGGAAGAACCAAGTGGATGAAAAATTTCTACTGCACAGACTATAACATCTGGCTAGATGGAAACCTCACTGACATAGTCTAGAACACATATCTTAGATAGATACTGAAAATTGACAATGAGTTAAGTCCAGAATAAAATAGGAAGAAGAAAGCAAATTGGATTGTACATGGGGGAAATAGTACAATGTCTTTGATTATATCAAGCTGCTCACTGAACAAGCAATGTTCAATGACTGCTAATCATGGGACAGTATAATCTCTGAAGAACCAAAATTGCTGATGAGTCAAATGTCAATAAAGAGAGGCACAGTGGACCAAAGAAGGCTGAAGAACATTAGCAATGGTGATTTTACAGGGGAAGAACCTTGAATTATACTATACAGGAAATATACAATTGGAAAAGATGGTAGGCCACTCATTAGAGAGAGCAAGGGATAAAAGACAGACAGCACAAAATCTACAAACTAGTACCAAGGGGGAATGTTAAATGATCTAAAATGGAAGACAGTCTCCCATGTTGGATGAATAATTTACAGAAAATAATTATGGAAGGATGAGTCCTTTAAAAATTATACAAAAAGGCAAATATTGGTAGAAATCTGTACTGAATGAGATCATGAAGCACTGACATAGTGAGTGGATTAATACCTGATGTTTCTAAAGTGCTTTCAAGCTTAAAAAGCATCCCCCCCCAAAAGAATAAAACCTATGAAGCAAGTAGTACAAATATTATTACCCTCATTTTACATTTGGGAAAAGTAAAGTTCAAAAGGTTTAAGGTGATATGCTCAAGGTCCTATGGCCACCAAGGCCCCCTCCAATCCAGGTTTTCTGATCAAATTCTGTTCTCCTTTGAGTACATCCCTGCTTGGCCATTTTACATCATCTACAAAACCACAGGTGTACTCTAGAAACTGCTCAAAAGGCATTTCAGAAGGGCATAATCTTCTAAGTTGCCAACCATAAGCAGGCAAAAAAAAATCACTTGTGGCATTAACAGTCATTAAGATTTAACAATAGACCATATATGCAAATGCAGTAGACTGAAGTAAAAATGTTCAAAAAATCACCTTTAACCCAGGTCCCTCAGTGTAGTTGCTTAAAAAACAAACTCGGTACAACATGGGGATCAGATTGATTTATGTTTCATCCTTATCATGCTTGGTTGAATTCAAATAGGGGAAGGGCTTGTTCTATTAACTAAAATGTCATTTTATAAGAGTAGATCCTACATATTTACAAAGGTAAATCACCAGGAACAGAAAAACTCAGGAAAAAAGGAGTCTATTTAGGCATTAGAGGGGGGAAAAGTCTATTATATAAAGATTAAGAGGTCATACACCGTACTAGGCAAGGTGCTAGGTTTGGAGTCAAAAAATCTGGGTTCAAACCCTACCCGTGTTGTTTGTTGGCAGGGTGATGCTAAGCAAGTCACTTAACCTCTATGCATTTTAGGTCACATCCCAGGAATTAATTCGTGAGCCACGATTTTAACGTACATGGAAGGAAGGAGTTGCTTACGCTGACAGAGATGACAGATTCTGAAAATATGTCTCATGTATTCACATATGGAAGGCTAAAGGAATTTGGATTATACTATAACCTCAAATAGGAGGAAATTTAGAAGGTACTATTTGAAATCATTTGGTTGAAAGTTCTTCTTAAGTATCTATAATAATCCATACTACCACCTAATGCTAGTGAATGTCCCTGAATTATCATTCTTCAATAACTCACAATCTTACAATGCTTGATGGTTATCATTTTCGGCATCTCTTCCCAAAGTACAGTGCAGAACTATACATGCAGATGGTACAGGAGATTGGGTTGAATATGTAAAAATGCTTTTTAAACAATGAGGTTATGATGGCCACAACATAGAACATTAACCACAGCTCATCCACAGGTCTCAGGGGCCTCTTAGAGCGCTCACCCCTCAGCAGCACCATAAGAAATGCTGACTCCTTCCAAGTTTGCCTATGTCCCTCTCACCTTGCAGATTTCAATTTCTGGCTTCAAATCCCCTACAGTGGTGAGTATTCCAGACAATCCATAGGTCTTTGGGAAGAAAATAGCAGAACAAAAAACTAAAACGCCTGTGTTAGCTGTGCTGACCTTTCAGCAATGCCTGCTGGTCCCCAGGTAGGCTCACGGGTAGACAGGTAGAAGAAACTTAGTTATAGTCCCTGGGCTAGCCTCTGACTCTGCCCATCCCCCTACTCCAGTGAGAGCTGTACTGGGTGGCCAACTGTACCTTTTCCTCCCCACACTGTCACAAGGGCAGATAGTTGTTTTCCACCAGTCCTCAGTCCCTTCCCCTTGCCTATATCCAGTAGAAGGAGACCCTGGATTCTGGTATAAGACAGGCAAGTGCCAAGTTTCTAGGACCTAGAAGAACACCAAAGAGTCCTATTGGCCCTGGAGGATTTGAGAACAACAATAGCAGCAGCTGGAATGCAAACAAAACAGCAGCAAATAGCAAAAGGTAAAATGGGGAGGCAGTTTCTGCAGCCAATGGGCTTGGGGGCTCAAGAAGTCTAACAGCTCTCAGATTGGGAGCCCTAGTCCTAAGACCCCTCTCCACTTCAAACAAATAAACAAACAAAAAGAAGGCTTAAAATCAAATAAATATCTCCCCCCTGGAAACCATGGACTACCCTACCATTTTGTCCTCTGCTGTGACAATCTCTAGAATTCAGAATCTAACCTCCAGGGAAGTGGGACAGGTGGATGGAATGCTAGGCCCGGAGTCAGGAAGATCTGAGTTCAAATCTGCTCTTAAATACTTAGTATCTATGTGACCCTGGACAAGTCACTTGTTTGCCTCAGTTTCCTCATCTGTAAAATGGGGATAATAGCATCTGCCTCACAGGGTTGTTGTGAGGATTAAATGAGATAATTGTAAATTGTAAAATGTTTAGTCAGTGTTTAGTCAGTGTTCCTGAAACACAGGAAGTGCTATAAAAGCTAATTATTGTTATTCCCCAATAGCCATGACATCAGGGAAGATGGACATTTGCTAGCTGAATTTCAACAGAAACTTTGCATGGTTAGTGGATGCATTTGAAAAATAAGTATCATGATTTGGTCAGTGCAGCCTAGGATAACACATCTTCTATCTGGATCTCAGATTCTCTGGGAGGTATCATTTTCCAATTATGACAAACATGCGTCAAAACAAACTGAACTTAAAACCAGACCTTTAAAGTATCTTAAAGTATCATGTAAGGATTTTCAACAATAATGAACCATATACAATCACAATGCTCTTATTTAAAAAAAAAAACTTTTAGTGAGAGCCAAGCATTTTTGTACCATTAAAATAAAATAACAAATATTTTAAATACTTTTATTTTAAATAATATTTAATATTTAAATAACAAATATTCATACTTATTGCATCCTTTTAGTTTCTATTTTGCACATATGTATGCATATACATACACATATATATGTATATATCTATATATATTCATTTAAGGGTACACACTCAAAAATTTTTTAGAGGGGATATATGATGAAAAAAATTTGAAAACCCCTGCAACAAACAATTAGAACTGGAAGGTAAGAATAAGAAAGGAATTTAAAATCAAACATAAGTGATTACTATACACTACATGCAGAAATAATTTTCTGAGGACTTACACTGAAAGATGTTACCAAAGATGGTGGAGTTTTCTCTGATGATCTTTAAAACTGGGATCAATGTTCATCTAGCTACAATTTTGCTACTAAGTCACATCCATAGGTGAACCAGCTGAAAAGTCTATCTAAATGGTCTTTCATGATTCTTTGCAGTCTTGGAATTCTATGCATTTCAAAAAGTATATAAGTAGAACCAGGAGAACAATGCATGCAACTATAACCATGTAAACAGAAAGAATAATAAAACAAAACTGAACCAAATGTGGAAGTTTAATGACCAACAAAGCTCTGAGACCAGAACCAAGAGACCAAAACCAAGAGGCTGAGAACAAGGGGTGTGGAATAGCCCAAGAGGCAGACAGATCATGTCACAACTGCTTTTGCTGAACTTTCTTCTTTCCTCCTTTTTTAAAAAACTTTGTTACAAAGGAGGGCTTTCTGAGTAAGACGTAGAGGAAGGTAGCTATTCAGAAATGAACGTGACATAAAAATAAAAGGCGTAAACAAACCTTTTAATGAATTCCATGACCCTTCCATTTCTCACTAAATCACAGTGCTAAGTAAAAGCCATATATTATCAAGACCTCCAGATTTCGACAAACCCTAAACAAATATTTCTTTAGATTCAAGTGATAAATGAAAGCCAGCTGTGACCTGCTTGAGTACTGCCTATTTCTCAGAGTTGGCTCTGCCAGGAAACAAGCCTCCTTGATCTAGTTGTGAGGTATGGAGAAATAGGATTGATACAATTAGTGAATTTAGATGCCAGAGAAAAGAACTCAATTCAAGAGAAAAGCCACAGGATTTGGGGTCAGGAGGTGTTGGTTAAAATTAACCAGACTTGGGGGGAGAGACCATTTTTTTCCTCTTAAATATGTAATGCAAATGCTTAGATTACCAGAATGTCCTTCAACATGCAAAACACTAATCCTAATCACATCCAGGCCAAGACCTACTCCTCAACCACTCTCTTCTCAAGTTCTGGGCAGATTTTGGCCCCCAAGCTTGGACTGGTATAGTTACCACTACATAACAACAATAAAAACACAACAACGTCTTGCTAAAAAGTATTTTTCCCCCATCAACAAATGGAATA